TTCAACATGCTCTTCAAAAAATATCGTCTCCACCTGCGTCATCCTATACCTCAGGACAGATTCAGAGTCCACGTTCGGTCCGCTTCATCCACCAGTGCATCTGGCAAGTTAGAGGGCCTCTCCGAGAAAACGTAGGGGACATGGGACAGGGCCCACCTGGGGGCAAGCGGAATCTCTTTTCTCGTTCAGGATTGGGCCTAGTGCCACCCCATGGCACCGGGAAACTTTCCCTGATGCCCCTCTGGACGCCCTGTCCCGAGCCTACACAATTTTAGGCGAGGCTCAATCTGATTCTCAACTTGGCGTGACTAGTGCCTGGCAGACTAATATTGGCTAAAGTAAAAAAACAGGACAATGGTAGAGAAGATAGGCATGGTACTGACTACACCTCCATAATATTTAACAAGTCCGGTTTTATGTCGGTCATATAAAGCACCTTGGTGGTTCAAAACACCAGTTCTTTTTCCAGTCGTCTCGTTCTCCATTTAACAAGTCAGGTTTTATGTCGATCATATAAAGCACCTTGGTGGTTCAAAACACCAGTTCTTTCTCCAGTCGTCTCTTTCTCCAAAGCAGCCATACACACGCAGGGACTTCGGGGCCATGGCCGGGGCCTTCTCTCACTTTGGCGGGAGACTCTCGGAAGCAAAGAACGTTTGAAAAGCATCCACCACAACCTAACTTCCAGGTATTGGTGGTTCAAGCTTGTGCCATACAGCGAACAACACCAACCAACAATCAAGCTTCCGCCATAGAAAAAACAACACCAATGCCAATGAACAAGGCTCCTCAGGTAACTGTTGCAAATGAGTGAGATGCTGCCCTTCTTTCGAATCAAGCGTAAAAGGAAAGCACAGCAGCTCAAGCCCAAAAGGAAAGCACGGCAGCGATTTACTAAGGCTAGAGAGGGGCACATAAATACACAGAAAACTGCGTGCATGATCGCTTTGAAACGAGTCAGCTACAAGCCTACAACAGGATAAACTTGCACTTTCGCTGACACAACAAAACCAGGGAGCATGCGCGCTTATTATGGTTCTTTTCTCTGAAATCCGTATGAAGTCCGTCTGAAATCGAAATCCGTCTGAAATCCGTAGAGAGCGTCAGTTTTCTGTCGCTGAACAATAATCAGATACCGGCTTCCCTGATTCCTTCTACTGCTCAGGTGCCTAAGTAAACAACCGCCCGCGAAACGTCGCAAAGAATACAGAGAGGGACCACCTCCTGACATTGAATACCCACCTCTGGCCTTGACTGCTTCTCACAGTGCAAACGACAGACGAAACTACGAGTTCCGCACATACCTGCTAGGTAGCAGCCTGTGGCAGCCACGGGCACACTGGGTGTTTGCTTCCTCAGAGCCGCAAACACATTTACAGCTCTACAATTCCCGTTGGCCAGGTCTGTGCTCCAAGGTCCTTGCACGATGTTTATAACCACCTGCAAGACAATGCCTTGCCTTCGCTTTTCAGCATATGTCCTAGAGAAAGAGCTCGACATTCTACCCCGCACCACATTCATAGGGCGAGAGGCCTGAAGGGCAAACCGTTTAAAAATCATGACCGAGGAGACGAGCCTCCAGCGCTTAGGAACTCTGAAAATAATGCAGACGAGCGATCTGCAGAAATCCCAGCACTACTGATAGACCAGAAAAACAGCCAATAGATGGCTCCAAAAATATCGAGCCTCGCTTTCCGCCCAGCAATGCCCGCCCAGTCTGCAGCCCACTTGGCTACATCTGCTTCTTCAAAAAGCCCTGTAATAGATATTTTGTATTTACTTTATTAATTTCTAAAGGCATGCAAGAGACATCAGGAGCATTTACCTGATGATAGCGGGTTGCCCACTTTTCACCACCTCCACCCCAGGGCCGGGGCTGACAGAGAGGAATCGATGGGGTGGTAGCTAAGCATACTATTTGATCCCAGACCGGTCTGAGGTAGATAGAAGTTGTGACAGGGAAACAAATGATCCACTCCATTGATTCTGAGATAAGAAGGCGGCAATCAATACATAAAACACAACATGGGAAAAGAAAAAAGTGCCAATCCCTGCGTCCATCCATCTCGAGTCGAGTGAGCTGCCGGAGAAGGAACGACTCGACCCTTGACACTTTCATAAAGAACCCTCGGCTCTCATCTAGCTACTGCGACTTCAAACTTCCAGACGTTAGATGCCAGTGTGGCTGCATAAGCCAACAGAACACTAAAATATGCTTTGGTCCACCAGAAGACCTGTTGGGGCTTCGCCTGCAAGAATACAGGAGCAAATACCAACGCCCCTGAAAGGTTTTTTCCCCATTCATTTCTTGTAGTTTGTTTATCTCTTGTTTCCAGTTCAAGTAAAATGCTCAAACCTCTCAACATTGCTTTTTCCTTCCTGTTATCGATTGGTGTCAGTTTCCATGGGAAGATCCCTAAACAGTTCCCGTCTGAGAACTGTTTAACGATCCTGAGAAAATGATGTCCCGATGATTTGCTTGCTACAGTTCTGATGCTAACTCGTTTCACTGTATTTCTGTGCGAGTTCACAATAAACTGTGCAGTTGCAGTTCAACCCACGTTCTATCTATCGTGTGCATGCATGCTGAACTTCTCTCTCTCTCTCTCTCTCTCTCTCTCTCTCTCTCTCTCTCTCTCTCTCTCTCTCTCTCTCTCTCTCTCTCTCTCTCTGCGTCTCTGTGTGTGTGCGAGTTCACAATGAACAGTGCACTTGCATTTCAACCGACGTTGTGTGTATTCCATGTGCATGCATGCCCAACTTCTCTCTCTCTCTCTCTCTCTGTCTCTGTGTGTGTGTGTGTGTGTGTGGATGCGTGCGTGGGTACCTACTCAACCCCCTTCTCCCCATTCCAACTTCGCTGCGTCACTCCACTGCGACTCTGCCCTTCTCCCCATCCTGACTCCGCCAGCCCCGACTCTGCATGTCTTCCCGGGACGACCCTTCTTCCCATCCAATGAGCCGAGCGTAGCAGTTTTTAAGAATATTTTCTAATTTTGTTTTTCTTATAACGGGCAGGAAACAGTTCAGATAGTTAAGGGGTCGACAGGTGCAGGGAGGTATGCTGCAGCGCTGGGTAATTTAGGTGAGCACGGCGGGCTGCAACGCAGGCATAGTTAGGTGCACTCAATGGGCATAATGTGGCTGGGAAGTACGGAAGTTAGGTGCACGAAGTCCTCTCTCTCTCTCTCTCTCTCTCTCTCTCTCTCTCTCTCCCCGTTCCGACTTCCCTGCCTCCCCCCTTACTGCACCATTCATGACTACCCTTCTCGCCATCCCACTGTGTGACGGGCGGTGTGTAGAAAGGCCTGAGTACATATTCACTGCGGCATGCTGATCCTGAATCACTAGAGATTCCAACTGTTTTCTTATAAAAAGCGAACTCAGGCCCGGTGTAACGCTCCGAGCGGGCCCATGTCAAACCGAGTCCCGGTTGTGCCAGGTTCGACCAGAGCAGTTTTCGGCTATTCTTCAAAGGAACGCACAGCATTCGGGAGGGGAACGCTATCGCAAAGTTTTGAATTGGGGCTCCGAGTCAAAAGGCCGGTTGTCTCAGGTGTCGGACACGATACTATGCAAGCCTATAACTTTCTGCTGTCAGACACGATACTATGCAAGCCTATAAGCTTATACGAGGATCTTCCATCACCATATCATATTCAACCTCTCGGCGGTCGTGGGTGTGTGAAAGGCCACCACCCTCTATAGAGATCAGTTGAAATCTTTGGGCCATGTGGGGATCAGATAAATAAGCTTCTTAGCTTGATCCCACTACGTGAAAGTCATACCTCCCTCAAACCCCCTTATAAAAAAACAGCGCCTTCAAATAGTGCTCCGGCCCCGGTCGAACCGGGTGAGCTGAACCGGACGGTTGCCCGCCCAGCATTGAAAGCGGGTAAGTTCATCTGTCACAACATCCATTAAATTTGGAATGCTAGAGCGAATATAAGCAGGGCGCCTGCTCAAAGATGACATGCGTAAATCAGGAAATGGTCTAAATAAGGAAAAGGGGACTGAACAGCCAGTTCTTTTTGGGGATCGAAATTGCACCTGTAACTCCTACGATTTCTGACTCAACATATAAATGAAAAGTTATAACTGTGGGAGAGCGAGGAGGAGGAGAAGGAAGATGAAGACGAGGAGAGAGGGGGAAGGAGAAGAACATTCTCACACACACAGACACACAAAGCGATGTTCTGCGTAAAGAGGGAGAGGGAGGAGGACGAGGAAGAGGGTAGGAAAGAGGAAGAGGAGGAGAGCTCCGTTCACACTGGGCACATATACGAGACCCGAAAGTTGGTACAGCATCGAAAAGTGCTCTCTCTCTCTCTCTCTCTCTCTCTCTCTCTCTCTCTACATATATAGCGGCATGCGTGCACACGTCCACCCATGCGCCCATGCAAACACATGCAAAGACAACGATGGAGGCAACCATGAGTGCTGCAATGGAAGAAGGATGAAAACGATGGAGGCGAAAGGACGAGGAAGAGAGGAGGGACGGGCATGAGGGAGGAGGAGGGAGGACCGTGATGACAACCACAAGGACGGCGGTAATGGAGGAGGAAAAGGAGGCGGGGTAGTGCGAACAGCAATTTTAATCAGGGTGGATAGTGAGGAGGACAGGATCAGGGAGGCAGGCCCTAAGCGAACAATAACCAAGAGGCCTAGCTCAGTTCGTGCACCCATGAATTGAAATACTGACCTATGCTCAAATCCACATAAATGTTTTATTATAAAAAAAGAACAAAGCTGATGACGTGGGCATTCCGACTGCGGTTTATTACCTGGGGCAGGTCGAATCGATGATGACATCTTAAGGATTGTGCCCACAGAGAGAGAGAGAGAGAGAGAGAGAGAGAGGTGCCTGAACAAAGTTTAAACATGAATGGACAAGAAACAACAATACAGTTACAAGTGTATGCTATTCCAGCCCCCCACAGTTATAGGCACGTACAGGCACGCCGAGATCAGGCTCCAAACTTATCGATTTGTTAGCCTTTGAGGCTCATGGTAATTGATTGCCTTGTGTTGAGAATGAGACGCTGGTGTTATGATCATGCTCACTTCTGATCTGATCCGTTGGATGCCCTGGTGCTATTATCATGCTCACTTTCGATTTTTCCCTCTTTTCAATGGTGAGTTGCTACAGTGGCTGATCGAAAGGGAGAATTGGACCAAGGAACTTTTGGAACTGGCTGAGTTTGCTCCGTTGCCATAAATCCGTTCTGTGCCGCGAACCCTTGGAACCTCGACCTTCCACCATTACTGATGGGGTAAGACTATGCCTTCACCATATTCACTACAGTCACCTGTAAGAACTTCGGTGGTGTAACAGCATCGGGTCCACTTGTTCTTATAAACGGTGGGCAGCAGTTTAGATAGTTAAGGCATTGACAGGTGGAGGGAGGTATGCTGACGCCCGTGGTAAGTTAGGTGAGTACCAGGGGCCACAATGCAGGGATAGTTAGGTGCACTCGGTGCCATAAAGTGGGTGGGGAGTTATGGCAGTAGCACAGTGGGTGGAGGGGAAGAGGTAGTGCACGGTTACCCATTCAAGCACGAAGTCCTCTCTCTCTCTCTCTCTCTCTCTCTCTCTCTCTCTCTCTCTCTCTCTCTCTCTCTCCCCCTCTCCCTAAGTGGCAGCAGAAGGACGGGTGGTGGTGTGGATGTCCGGTTACACAGCAGCGAGGTTAGGTGCACAGCAAAACCGTCAGCGGCACAGATGTCAGGCTGTGCGGCAGAAGGCCAGAGTGGCAGCGAGGGGAGAGGAAAGGCAGTACCCTCTTGTGGATGTGCACCTGTAGGTAGGCCAACTTTCCTGTGATCCGGGCCATTGGCCCAGTGCTACCGTTAACACTTCAATCGTTGTCTTTGAGCCTCTGTATCTCGTTACCACAACTTCAAACTTCCTGACCAATCCCACTCCCTAGAACCTCAACCCGTTTTTTAAGTGGCAACCTCCAAGCCCGCGCAGTCACTCACGTGCTCCGCGCAGTCACTCACGTGCTAACTGAAAGCCATCCACGAATGGACTCCACTTTCAGAGGGATGTGAATGTTCATCCAGAAGTGAACAGAGATATGAAACTCTCTCTACAACCAGCCATCTGGAACAGAGCGACCCGAGGGAGAGTGGCTGACTCAACCTCGATACTTTGATAAGGCCGTAGACGTTTAACGATCTTCCGGACCCTCTTTGCAACTACACGCTTTTCTGGCCTCCTGCCAGATAACCTATCTCCCTCCTCCCTTGAACCTCGCGCACCGTGTTACGAATCCCTTCTTTACCTCTCCTTCTCCATCAAAAGTTGGCGCCTCTCAGTGTCTCAAACACGCACGGGCATAAGCACAAGCTGGCAGAGTTGCCGTGCAATTATAGCCGCACAATGTGTTCTGATCTCATTGATGCACAAGTTCTCAGAGCAATGACATTTTTAATGCAAGCAGCTACTAATGAGCCATGCTCCACTCAAAACTTGTGCAGGTCGGATCTGGAAAGCAGACATCCCTTTCTTGCTTACACAAAGAAATATGGTGTTATTTAAGTCCTCCCACGCGATTTGTCGCTGGGACACACCCACCGACATGAAGTAGTTCTGCATTCAGTAGAGGTACACCAGACCGCCTCCACCGGGGTGGTTTTCCTCTCTCCGTCCACTGCCAACCTTTCTCCTTACACGCTCAATTTGCCAAACCTGAGAGTAGCAGGGATAACCATCACTAGGCTCGGTTCCTTAGTTCCAGTCACCACAAGCCAGAGGATGAACTGCAATGCACAGACGAGTCGCATGGTACCTTCATGGCAGGGCGGTTCATCCACCAGCCTCCATTCATCTCACAACACCCAAAAATCGAACATAAGCGACAACCAACTCTGCAACATCTAAAGGCCCAAATGCTAATCTGTTCGGAGAGAACCATCCGCCAGTCTCCATGTCACACGGCACTACCCAAAAGGATAAGAGCCTCCAGATTGTGTAACTCCGGGGAAGTCATTGACGCATGCTTCGTAAAGAATGGTTATATTAAATCAGTTGCTGGAAGGAGACCTGACCGTTAGCAGGATGGAGACCTGGTATACTCTGTAAAGAATGGTTGATTTAAATCCCTGTTTGAACTACAACAATGCCCCATAAGCTCCATAATCAGTTGCTGCAAGGAGACATGACCCCCCCTGGTTTTCATCGCATAAAGAACTCGACAACCTAACTGCATCGTCTGCCATCAGGGCATTCAACTCATGCACAAATTGAACAAGACACTTGAGGGAGGTACGCGCTGTGACTCTATTGGATGACAAGACTTCATATTCAACAGGCACACTAATCTCTTCCACCGAACACAACAATGCCCCGATGATGAATGTATACAAGCTCATAGCATTTCACAGACATTGCACTGCCCTCCTCAACGTATTGCCAGCCAGCAAACAGCAGACTCGCTTTCGCCGGCACGGCTGCTGCGTGCACTCCAGAAAAGAGTGGAAAAACAGGGAGTTCCAAGCCTGGAGGCAACACCTGGTTATCTAAGCTGATCGGACTTCAGACGCAGCAGGATGCAAGATGGCAGACTACCGTCTTCCCCCAAACACAATAGCATGTCTAGTGGAATGCTACCAGATCAGCTAGCTAGGAATGCTTCTTCCAGACAGCAGCCTCAATTTTACGGTACAGCTGCTGAGACCCCTCCAGAAAGAGGCGGAAATGACGGGGTCCCAAGCAGGGTTTCACGTCGTGAGTTGCTACTTGTAATAATACACGACGACTCCCTACACTCTTGAGGGCTTCAGAAGACAATTAATATACGATTGCCTCCACTCCCACCAATCTCCCCCAACCCCACAACAATGCAGTAAACCTGCGGCTGCGCTTGTCTTGCGCATACCGTCTCCCATTACGTACTGATGCTTCACTCACTCTTGCACCATCGCCACACAAGGACAATTGCCGCCACGGGACGCTATGTTTTTAAGCTGGGCCATCTGCATGACGGATGCTTGGCAGGTCAGAACCCCGTGCCTTCAAATGGTGAGCCATTCTCCTGATGTTTGGCACCCCATAGCACCCCCTTGGCAAGAAGCTTTCACATATCTTCAATAGACGTGCCTTCCGAGAGGAGGACAGACCTGATTTGACAACACATTGCCATAAGCATCAGCTCGCTTCTCGACGATCTCACGCCCTACACCAGCCATCTCCACGCTAATGACTGATTCAGTTTTCAACGTCATAATAGTACAACAACACCAATTGTGCGACAACGAAATACTGGCATAAGACAGCACCCGGACTTAGCACTTGTCTTATAGATTCTAATGCTACAGCAAAACACACACACACACACACACACACACACACACACACACACACACACACGTGCATGCCACAGGGTTGAAGGTAGCTGCCTTAGCTAACCTCCACGAGTCAGACCACAGAGAAGTTGATATGTCCAGCCCAGAGAAC